AAAGGGTCCCCAACCGAGGATGTAGAGATGAGCTTTTGAAGCCGTGGAGCAGGAGCACAGCACTGCAGCCTCCCATTGACCAGGTAATGGGCACAAACCAAAATCCCCCCCTCCAGCTTGCGTTCTCTGCCTGTCCGGCAGCTTATCCCCTTGCCTCCCTCCCACAACCCAGCTCCAGCCAGCGCTTTTGCAACTCATCGGGTGGGAGATGGGGACAGTGCATCCATCCTCAGCATCCTGGCTTCAGCCGGGAGGAGTTTGCCGGGTTGGGGAGCTGGAGTGGACACTTCATGCTGCCGAGGAGGGGGTCACCTGCATGGGGACGCATGGCTGGACCAGCTGTTGTGGCGTCCCCTCCCCCACTCCAGCTCCACCGAAAGCGCTAACGTAGCAAACCAGCCTCCGCGCTGCATTTTCAGTGCCGTCAAGCATTTTTGCTGTCTTTCACTGGCTCATTTTCCTCGGGCACTGCACCAGCTGGGCACATCTCCAAGAAATACTGTATCACCCAAACTGGCAGCGGAGCAGGGATGTGTGGGAGGGGAGTTCCCCAGCTGTTTCTCCTTTTATGTTTGCTGTGGACCCAGTTTGGCAATGGCATTCGTCAGCCTCCTTCACCTGCCTGCTGGTTATAGGCTGTCCCCGCTGCTGACGGGGCATCACAACCAAGGTCTCCCACACCGAGGGCTGGATCCATCGGTTAAAAAGGAAATGTGCGTGTGCAAGTGCATGTGAAACCCAGGCTTACAGCGGGGTGGTTCTCAGCCGACGCGAGGCTGAACGCTCCCATGGTCCCGTCTGGCCCGTTTGCTGCCAGTCGGTTGGCAGGAGCAACGTGAGCACCTTGCGGGGTTGCGCATCACAACCAAGGTCTCCCACACCGAGGGCTGGATCCATCGGTTAAAAAGGAAATGTGCGTGTGCAAGTGCATGTGAAACCCAGGCTTACAGCGGGGTGGTTCTCAGCCGACGCGAGGCTGAACGCTCCCATGGTCCCGTCTGGCCCGTTTGCTGCCAGTCGGTTGGCAGGAGCAACGTGAGCACCTTGCGGGTTTGCCCAGCCTCTGCTGGAGCGGTGCGGCTTGTGCAGCAGCAGCAGGGAAGCACTTGATGTCACTCAGATTCCCCTCTAAGCATCTTGACAAATGTGGTGTTGATGCAGGCTACGGGAGGGACAGGTAACCAGATGTTTCTACCTGCTGCAGCTTTATTTTCAAATAGATGAGGTGCAAACATTGCTCCCTGCAGTATCCCCTTAGTTGCCGTACACACGCGTCTGCGCTCAGCTCAGTTCCTGACCAGACCTGTTGAGCAACTGCTCCAGACAGTGTCTGTATATATGTTACACATCATGTCCATGCTCTGCCTTCCCCATCATCGCCTCTTGTGAGCACGGCCCATCTGCTCACTACTGTCCCAAAGGATGTCTGTGCATCCTACGGGCTGCCTCTGTCAGAGTGCTCATGTCCAAGTCAGGCATCTTGTTCTCCAGTCCCAGCGTGATCCGGTTCCCTCTTCCCACAGGACCGAGAGGATCTGCTCCATCTCTCTGGAAGAGAGTTTATGTGATGCACACATCGTCCATGTGCTCTGGTATCACCCGATTCACAACTGAGGCTCACGCCCCACAGCCCATTTTATGTTTGCCCTTTTTTCCCTTTGTGGGTCTCTCTATCCACTTCGGCACGTACCTATGATCCTCTCAAATACTCATTTCATGCCTTAGCCGCGTATCCTGTGCTTTTCGTACACATCCTACGTCTGTCTAGTCCTTATTTCACCTCTTAATACCATTGCACACCAGTTTCATTCACAGCCTGCGACGTTTTCATCGTTAGCTTTGCCTCTCTTTACTGTAGACTGTCCTGCTCTTGGATATAAGGTTGAATGAGGCTTTGAGCAATCTGGTGTAGCGGAGGGTGTCCCTGCCCATGGCAGGGGGGTTGGAACTAGAAGATCTTTGAGGTTCCTTCCAACCCAAACCATTCTATGATTCTATATATTTCGTGCCATCTTGATACCATCTCTTCTTTCTGCATCAGCAGCAAGGTGTACTTGGACTTGCCTTTGAGCTGCTGCAACACAGCCATGCCAGCCTAGAGAGCAAACAAACCACCATCACCTGCCTCCTGCTCTCTACTGATCCCATGGACCAGATGAGGGAGAGATGATCCCAGTTGTGGCCACATTTCTTCCAGAACTTTCAGATTGGGTTAGGTGAGGTTGTGGCAAGCACCTGCCTTCGAAGAAGCCCCTCTCACCAGCTGCCAGGTTAGAAGACAGCACCAAGGCCAAAAAGATCATGCATTTAGGTCACAGACATGAACCAGGGTCTCAAAGTGCATAAAGTCCCTCTGCCTGCTGACCAAAAGCCAGAGCCTGGCATGCTTTTACAGCGAAAGCATCTCCAGCCGGGAGAGGATACAGCAAACCAGTGTTCCTCCTTGAATAGGAACTAGAGGCTGGGGCAGAGATCTAGAGAAGTTTCCACTAGGTAACCTACCCTACTATCACATTTCTTTTTGGTAGGTAGGAGCACCCAGACCTGTTATTTGAGATGGGCCACAGGAATACACAGCATGGCAGGGCCGTTGGCAGGGGAGGTGTAATCAGCCCTTCTCATCTTCTCTGGCTGTTGGCTGACCTATTGCAGCAGCCAGCGCACTCAGCAGGAGATGCCTTTAAATACAGTGTTCACACATTAGCAATGATAATTTTACAAATTGTGTAAATATGAGCACTTCGGCCAAATCTTTGTTTTGTTTTTTTTTTTTTTTATTCTCACCCCCAGTGCTCAGTGCCCACCAGTCAGTGGGCAGCATTTCCATGGATCACTGCCTCCTATAGCTGGATGATGCCCAGCCAGTGAGCTGAAAAAGTGCTGTAAAAGTGCATCTAAGAACCTCCACAGCCCTGGAAGGTTTAAATCCTACCTGCAGCTTCGCATTCATTAAAGACTACAGAGTTTTTTAAATAAAAACAGGAACATCCTTCCCATAAAACAGGTGCTCTTTCACAACCCAGGAGAGATCTAACTCCTGAAAAGAAACACTACCTATCCCTTATTCACCAACTACTGGCTAACACCGAGCAAACCTATCTGATACCAAAGCAGATCCTGCTTTGGCACGCAAGTTGGGCCAGAAGATCTTCTCAGGTTTTTCCTCACCCAAACTCGCTCACGACTCTGCATTTAAACTTTTGTCTTAGAGCTACAGAGGAACTTCCACTGGCAGCTTCTTTCATCCAAAAATGGTTTAAGTTATCCAAAGTGAAATTGTTTGCCAGGAAAATGTATTTTACCTGAGTTGTTCCATCCCTGGAGGTGTTCAAGGCCAGGTTGGATGAGGCTTTGAACCTGGTCTAGAGGAAGGCGTCCCTGCCTGTGGCAGGGGAGTTGGAACTAGATGATCTTCAAGGTCTCTTCCAGTCCAAACCATTCTGTGATTCTATGATTCCCAGTCTGAATGTTTGGTTTGTGGGGTTTTTTTTTTCCCTCCTCTCTGAAGACATATTTGAATGAATTCAAAACAATATTTTTTGATTTTTTTTTTTTTTTTTGCATGATACAGCTATTCTGGTTTCGGTGTGTTTGTCCACTTATCCAGACATCAGCACTGAAATACTTAAAGCTATCCATGAAAATGTGTTGATTAAGCTGCCTGGGGGAGAGTGGCAATGTGTTTTTCTGTTTTGTGACACTTTCAGTTATAAACCTTTTATCATGATTTAGGGCAGGCAAGAAATGGGAATCACAAAAATCGTTTGGGAAGGAAAATTAAATTCTTATCCAATTCCTACCCCCCTTTTTTTTTCTTCTTTATCGCCCTCCAGAGAAAGGATTTCTGCAGTGGGCTTTAATCAGCAGTACGAGGTTAGAGTTAGTTA